TCATGCTAGATCCGAGATGCATTGTGTTGCTAGATCCGAGTTATCCGCATCCCTCAGGGCCCGAGGAAAACAACCTATGCGGCCCGTTAGAGACATCTTGGCGAGCCGAGATCTCGAATATTTTAATTAAATGTATGTGTTTTTAAAACGGATCGATCTGAGGATTTAGTAGTTAGTGTCACCTTGTGTTCTCTCAAGTTGCTAGGTCTCCATCGGTGTACCCCCATGTTTGTCTTTTTCTCCAGTATGTCGCTTAGTTCTAGATCAAGAGCACATTGCTCTAAAAAACCTTGTGTTCTCAATCCCTACCCTGCCACCCGTTTGTTACAATTTGTTACCCCTAACCTCGAGAAAGCCGCGAGTAATCGGCCCCCGCTTTACTAACGTTAGTTTTAAGTAATTTTGTACCCAAACGATGAATATCGGCTCCGCAAAGCTACGGCAAAAGAGCCTGGAAAAATAAACGCATTAAAAAAAAAAAAAACTCAGTCAGATTGTGGCGGCCATAAGCGCTCTTAAAATTCTGGATGGCTGATTGACTACACACTACGAAAAAATCGTGTAAATTTCGGTTCCCTGAGACCGACACAAGTAAGCGGCCCTTTTGACATAAGAATCAGTGGAAAGAAATAAGAAATCAATCAAACGTTCTCTTCGTCGAGTTGCATATGTTTCGGTTTGATAATTCTTAATTTTACACGAAATGTTTGTTTACGTTCCATGATTTACGTCCAATATGAATTACGTCTCGTGTAAAAGTAGACATTTTTAAGTGTGTATGTTCACATGTTGCGCTTGAATTCAGTAGTCCTAAAATAAAAGTAATACAAACAGTCGTTTCGAAACTTCTGATTTCAGATTTAAACATGTACGCATACGCAGAATAAGCACGGCATTAAAGGTGTCAAACATTTATTTGAATAAATATGCTATATATAGCTTTAGAACGTTGAAGTTTGTATTAGTCGATCAATAAATTAAACATTACTTTTTCGAAGGGACGTATCAGCTTTTGTGAACATGCATTTGATCGTCAATTTGGCTTAACTGGTAGCTCGCCCACATTTCTTAACACTAGCACCAGATAGGGGAAATTTTACCCTACACACATTTTTTTTTCCTCTGTTTGGGACCTAACACTACTGCTTACTGGTCGCTTACTTGATCTATTGTACACACTACGAAAAAGACATGTAAATTTCAGTGCCCTGAGACCGACACATGCAAGCGGCCCTTTTGACATAAGAATCAGTTGAAAAGTACGAGAAAATCAATTCAATCAAACGCACTTTTCGTCGAGTTGCATATGTTTCAGTTTCAGGACACTCAATTTTACATGCCATGATTGTTCACGTTCCATGATTTACGTCAAAGCTGAATTACGTCTCGTGTAAAAATAGTAATTTCTAAGTATGTAGTATATCCCGTGTCCTTAGTTTAGTGCATGTCGTATTACTCCATCACTATTGAGAAATGATGAGGTATTCGATTTTTTTACAGTTGCCACTCTTGCATTCCTTAGCAACAAAATTAAGGTATGACACCGATAATGACCATGCATCAGAACCCTAGTCTTAACAACTTCAAACTAGGGAACAACGAATAGAAGATTAGGAATCACATAGATGAAGACAACTAACTCATTTTTTTCCTCGGTAGACAAAGCCGAGTCTTCCCTAATAAACGGGTACCATACACTAACGATATCATAGATGTTACAACCATACCACATAAATTTGGGATGATATCCCGAATTGGTGGTTAGGCGCTTCTTATGGTTATTGTTTATGCGGGTTGTCACTATCAAAAAGGCATAAAAAGTAACAAGGACTAAGATGTGTTCCTTGGATTACTGAAAAATCCTGTTCCCCTAGTTTGAAGTAGGACTAGGAATCGGTGGTAGATCTTACGATCTTAGATCTTAGAACGTACCACGAAAAGGTGATCTACCCACGTTACGGGCCACCCTACACACATAGAAATACCTAATCTTTCACGTGAGGGAATCCATCTTTGACATAAAGGATGAGACGTAAACAAACAAACAAACATGTCTGAGAGACTGAAAAGTTCGAAAGTACGACGGACATCGATTGCCATCCATTGACGGCAATCGAATGTGCAGGAAGGCAGCTTCCACACCTGCGTAGGATATCGCACCCATTCAACACACATGGGCCGGGACCAACGGCTTTACTTCCCTTCCCTTTTATGCTTCAGAAAAATCCCACCGACCTCGGCTGGGATTGAACCCAGACCCATTGGGGTGTTAGAAAGCAGTCACGCTTACCACTACACCACCGGCGCCGGCTGGGCCAGCGTTCGTTCGTGTAATATTAAGTCCTCCTGCACCTAGCGTCTGTAGTATGGAAAACAAGATCGACGGAAAATAAATCAAGTAAAAAAAAGGAAGGTCACATAAATTAAACATTAATATTGCGTTGATTTTTGTGACATGTTATAGACAACCCCATTCGAAATTAGCTACTCAAAACACCATCATATCTTTTCTAAACAGTATCGAAATCAGTTCTAAGGTTGTTTATTTGATCAAACAATATGAATTTTTTTTTTCTGTAATTTGATGTGTTTTGGTTTGTATGCGTTTTGGTTTGAGACTCTGGCCATTTCGCGGGGGAATTCGAAACGTATACAGGGGGGGCAGTTTGGTTCTGCGCTGTCGATGTAACTGCCATGCGTCGTTCTTTTCTTCGGATTCTCATGTGATTTGAGATGTTGCTTGATATGTTAATGTTTAAGTCCAGATTATTTTACTTGCCCGGTGGAATCTGGAATATTTCTGGAATAATGTGTATCTTGGCTGGATCTTGGGGGTTGAAATTGGTTGAAATTTGTATGGGAATTACTATGGAAGAATTTGAAAAATCACAGTAGCACCAATTTCAGCACAATAATAACAGGTTTATAATCATTGGCATGACAACACCATATTAATTGTTTTCATCGTTTTAACAGCTACGACCAAAGTAAGAGCAATGCAAGTGAAACTGAATAATTTCCCATAGTAATTCACCTAAATCTCCATACAAACTTCAATCCATTGACACGAGCTATAAACCTTCATCAATCTTTACCATTTTTTTGACATAGACTCATTTGTTGGGGTATTGAATCAAACTAGGGGTGGCCTATCAAAAATTTATCACTTTTTAAAAATGAAGTACCCTACTGAAAATAGAATATCTAAACAACCTGTTAATTTTCACATTAATTCTGAACCAAAACGTCAAATCTTATACAATAACGTCAAAATCGAAAACATGCTGGATTCAACCAAAATGTAGAAGGTTTGGCAGCACGTGTCTACTTTAAACTAATAGCGAATTCGTTTATTATTCAGTTCCAACCTGGATCGGGTATCAAGATTGGGTCTGTTTGTTTTGTGACAAACGTCAGTTTGATCGTTTGTTTTTAAAACCTACCTCAGGTTGAGGTTCACTCAGGTGCTCGTTGAAGCATGTGCACAGTTATTAAGTAACTGAGAGCTTTACCGTGCCAAGGCCTTTGAAGGACCATAATCATAAGGACCGTAAGTTGAGCTGTTTTAACGAGACAATTATAACCGAACCAATGATTAAATTGTACATTGAACTTATTGATTTGGCTCCTAATACTCCTGTTTTTCTCCAAAATGCAAGAATCGAAACACAACCATGTCAACAAAGCATTCAATCAATATGCTTCGCGTCAGATCGTATCCACCGTAAAGGCAAGTCTGTGATCACCTAGCGACTGATGTCATGCTTTGATTAGCAAAACACGTCCAATATATTAAACAGCCGCAACAGGCTGAGCGGTTCCAAATGTACTATCCTCAAATGACATATTTATTAATGTACAGCCTGTAACTGATGCTGCTGCTGTCGCTGTCGAGGAACCTGTTTCTCTGAAAATGAAGCCGCCCATAAATTATAAACGTGGCTAGAATTTTAATCGGTTCCTTTTGGGGGCATCCAGCAGTTCCAGTTGTATACGCAAAAAGAGCAACGAGGTGAAATCAGGTCACACAGGATTATCAATTCCCCCCGTGAAGCCAACATATAATAAGAAGCAAAAAGATTGTCGAGCAATATCTCAAGAAAGCACAACGTCCTACTTAAGCTCAACTGGTAGTTACCCGATGCAGATGTGCATACATGCAAATCATTTGTATTCAAATTACCTGCGGTAAAATTTTCAATAAATTAACTTCCATTCCGTAACATTTGAGAAAACAACAATCATGACCAAATAAAACTCACATCCAGTCTCGAACCGTGGACCTTTGGATCCAGCAGTCGACTAAAATCCACTTCCTCATTACTAAATATACGCTTTGTGCATAACGTTCGGCATATTGTCGATTTCAAATATTGCAAAATCGTGAAGAATCATTTTCACTTTTCCGTGCAGTAACCCTGTTCTGCGCACAAAAAAAAATAGATACAAGAATGCCCTCTGTGTTTTCTGAAAAGTTTGTTCTTCATTTTAAAAATGATTTCGCAACCATATATTTAAACTTTCAACATAGTTTGCTTTTAAATTTGGATAATACTCGTTTATATAATTTACTCAGTTCAAAAACTAATATCTTAAGAAAAACAATTTTTAATTGGTCTTCATTACATTTCACAACAATGTGTGTCATTTTACTAAGAGGCCTTCCGGACGAAAGTATGCAAAACATAGGATGGACACAGTAAAATGTTAACACAAATAACAAAAAATCTCGCCTTTACCCTTAAATTGAACTCCCCAGTAAAAAAAAAACAATGCCGGAACTGAACTCCGCATAGAAACCGTTAAACATTTTGTTTACCTAAACCCACAAAAACACAACCAGAATCGAAACTCTACCGCGCCTTGACCTTCGCTTTTTGCACATTAATCCCCACAAACTTCTGTGGAAACCCCTGCAAATCTAACCCGGCTGCGATCGATCATCGCGATTGCGAACCATTCGACAGAGAACGAAAAAAAAGTGCGATATAGTTACTTACGGACATGCGACACATCAGCATTCGCCACGGTGATTAGCACTGCCAAAACGCCGGCAAAACAAACGGACGTCTTTAGATTCATCGTTACTGGACACTACTCGACAACCTATTGAATGACACTAGCAATCTGAACACAACCAAACGGAGGAGACAAACAACCAAAGACCCTACCGATCGATCCGAGATGATCTTCGCTACTGACTGACTCGCGAGATCGGGACGTTATTAGTATAGGAAACACGGATGATGATGACTCCTAGTGAATTGATCCGATCGCCCGGCACAACACAGGTAGAATGAATCCCACTGATATGACGTCATTTAACATGTGTTGATCATTGGTCGGTGCCTTAAGATTTGCACCGTTGTTGTTTCGAATAAGGTGAGTGTGGTTGTTCAGCTCCTTGTCGCTGTGGAACTTTTCCTATAACTGACAATAAGGACAGGTTCTAGAATGAAGCAAAAACGCATTCTGTGATCAATGTGCCATGTATGGAAAAGTAATTTGTTGATTGACATTGAAACACTGAAAAAACGAAGAGAAATTGCCATGATCTCTTTTTCTCATGATGTAATATCACAGCTTCATACGCTGGAAATGTAATTCGTAAGTTTGAATTTTTAATCACCATCACGAGTTTTAAGAATTAGGAACTAATTTCAAGTTAATTTCAAATAACAGACTAAAGTGGTAATTTTATACGATAGATGGAGGAGATGAAAGTCTAGAGTTGATAGTTCCGTTAGAGTACGGCAGTGTGAAAATTGCTTATAGAAAGTAGATAGCGAGCTAGGACAACTTTTAAGGAAGGTACAAATCGGTTTTTTTCATCTCTCTTTACCAAACTCCCCCTTTGGAGAGGGATGGTGAGGGGTGTAACCCCCCCTTTTATATCCTCATTTTATTATGATTTAGTACTGTATATTGATTTCTAAAAAATAACTATTCGCTACCGTGTACTGTATACCGGGATTTTTTATTATCAACAAATCATTTTGCTGGGAACTCGATTTCAAAATTTGGTGTTGACAGGATCCAAATAAACTACACGCTGCTGTTCAGCTGGTAAACCAGGATGCATCTACGAAACTTGCAGAGGGAGTAGAAAAACATGAAGCGATAGAATACGGAGTATCCAGCTTTCCATGCTCGGTAATGGCGGCCTGTTTGTATGAATAAATGTATCCTTCACAGTGCTTTTTGACACTAACTGGAGGGCGTATGTTGTTTCATTTTCTTCTATTCCTGGGAGAGGGAAAGGGAGAGGTCAAAATCCGAACCTCCAGATAGCACAGTGAAGGATACATTTATTCATACAAACAGGCCGCCATTACCGTGCACGGAAAGCTGGATACACAGAAAAAAAAGTTGTTGAATATTACATCCAAACTGCTGCAACCAGGTCAATCCATCGGTTGTGTAATATAACGTTGTACGATGTACATCGATTTTGCGAACAAAATTACATCCATTGATGTAAAGATATAAATCAGCACAGCTCTCCTGCCTCTGCTCATTACCGCTTCGGACGGCGTGGCACCAAGTCAGCTGCCAAAGGTGGATCACGCCGTGTCCACCACAATGAGGAATGAGACTTGAAAAAACGTACATGTAAAACCCCCTTCCCCTTAACAACCTCTCCCTCTGCTTCCTTAACATAACCCGAAAAAGACATGGACTTTGACGATCATTTTTTTTTTCCGGGAAATAAATTTTAAGCAAACCACAATGATGTATAAACAATTAATTTTTTACATGCAGAGCCAACATTTTCAAAAAAAAAATTGCTTAACAGGAGACATACACTCGATGAATTACCAACAACTGACTGTAAAACATATCTGGTACCTCTATATATGCAATTATATTAGCATCCTTTTTTACATATTCTGCACAAAAGCAACTTTCTGCCCCACCCCATTCATAAAAAAAACTGCGGGAAATCCTGTCAGGTGCGGTTGCAAATCATTCTGCTTGAACCTGAAAAGATACCCGCATAAACGCGAAGCATAAATTGACCTTACCTAAAATGGTTAAAAATTGTTTATAATCCCTGCTAAACTTTAACTGAAATGGTTATGGAACTTTACATGAACGTTTAATGATAAAGTTTCAACCTTATGTATTATGGTTTTTTGGAACTGGACCTTACAAATAATGGGTTGTTAAGAACCATTACCGTTCCCAATTCTTGTTTTCTCCATACATTTTCGGAAAGAGAACTATATTAGAACCTTTTAACTTATGGTTTGAGAACTTTAATGGTAATGGTTATGGTAGTCAGTAAGGTCCACGAATGGTTTGGTAACATCGATCAACTTTATGTGGAATATATCGCGAATTGGTTGCCTGTAATTTACTGATTACCAATTCACGATATATTCCACGTAAAGTTGAGCGATAATACAAAACCATTAATGGACCTTACTGACTACCATAACCATTACCATTAATGTTCTCAAATCATAAGTAAAAACGTTCTTATATAGTTCTCTTTCTGAAAATGTATGGAGAAAACAAGAATTTGGAATGGTAATGGTTCTTAACAACCCATTATTTGTAAGGTCCAGTTCCAAAAAATTATAATACATAAGGTTGAAACTTTATCATTAAACGTTCATGTAAAGTTCCATAACCATTTCAGTTAGAGTTTAGCAGGGATTATAAACAATTTTGAACCATTTTAGGTAAGGTTAATTTATGGTTCGCGTTTATGCGGGTATAAAAGAGCGCTGCTGTCGTGCTTTTGCTCATTCAGACCATCATGGACCATTCTCTGCTTGTTCATCAAGCAGTACACTCCGGTATTTGCTCGGTCTGTCGAGTTGTTCGATAATTTATTCCAAACGTTTATTCGCGTCGTCAGTAGTGTCGGTCGCATTGTGTGATGGGAAGACAGCGCTTCCGGAGCAGGCTCCGTGAGAAAGCGGAGAAGAACAGTGGTGAGTGTAGCACGAGTGTTCCTATTTCAAATAGGTACGCTACTCTTTCCACCGATGTTGGAAATACCACCTCTGCCACGGTGAAGCGATCCAAGAAGAGGAAGAAAAACCAAGGCCAGTCCGATGGTGCGAGTGGACGTGATGACGTCACAGCAACGAACGCCAGCGACATCGGTGATTTCGGCGACACCATCGACAACGAAAATTCTGCCGGCCCGAGTGCGGCAAAAGTGAAGCTACCTCCATTGGTAGTGAAAAATGCCCATCTTAATGAGCTCATCGCAGATCTAGCGACGCTGGGCATTAAAGCCGAATACAAGTTGGGCAGAGTCGGCACCAAGGTGGTGCTCCGTACCAAAGCGGAGTATGACTTAGTCGTCGCCCACCTGAGGACTTCCAAGGTGGAATTCTTTACTCATGACATTCCCGGTGAGAAGCCATTCAAGGTCGTCATTAGGGGCCTACCAAACTTCGACCCGAAGTTTATCGAAGCTGAATTCAGAGACCGGTACAAGCTGGCCTCAAGGGCCGTCTATCGGATGACAAGAAGAGACGAGAATGTGAAGGCGTATCCGGATTGCCTTTTCCTGGTACACTTCCAGAAGGGAACGGTGACGCTCAACGCGCTGAAAGCCATCCGCTCCATCAATTGCATCATCGTCCGGTGGGAGCCATACCGTGGCGGCCATCGCGATGTGACTCAGTGCCAACGGTGTCTGAACTTTGGACACGGCACCCGCAACTGTAACATTAAGCCACGCTGCGGCAATTGCGCTCAAGACCACGCCACTTCCGACTGCCCTGCGGATGAAGCCGTGGCGTTAAAATGCGCCAACTGTGGTGGTGCTCACCAAGGTTCCAACAGACAGTGCTCCAAACGCGAGGACTTCAAACGCATCCGAAAACAGGTGGCAGCTAACAACCAACCAGGACGCAAGAAGGACAAAGTCCCGGCATTTCGGACGGAGGATTTCCCGCCTCTTCGTGCTCCTCAGCAAAGGCAAGCGAATTCGCGGGTGCATTCCGCTCAAGCAACTTCTGGTGATTCTGCTGGCCAAAGCTCTCCATCCCCCCCTGGATTCTGGAGACAACCACCAGCGCAAAACAACAACCCTGATCTGTTTTCAGCGGATGAACTGATGGAAATTTTCGTAAACATGACCGGTGCTCTACGTAAGTGCCGCAATAAGCCCGAACAGATCCAAGTGCTCGGTAAGTTCATCATCCAGTATGGTGTCTAAACCGCTAACCATCGCTACTTGGAATGCTTGCTCTGTAAGAGCAAAACAGATTGAGCTTGCCGACTTCCTCCGCAAGCATAGCATCGACGTGGTTCTTCTAACCGAGACCCACCTAAAGTCCGGTGACAGCTTCTGGTTGCCTGACCACAACATTATCCGGCTTGATCGCACCAGCTCCAGGGGGGGTGGTGTAGCGGTCATCGTCAGAAAGGGAATCAAGTTTTGCACTCTGCCCCACATCCGCACTTCTATCATCGAGGCCATTAGTGTGGAGGTGGAATCACCAACTGGAAACGTCCGGTTCATCGCTGTTTACTGCCCACGCCAGTGTACCGCAAGCAATGGATTAGGAATCCAATTCAAGAAGGACCTGACCGCCATCACCCGTACTAGCTCCCGATTCATCGTTGGGGGCGACCTGAACGCCCGCCATGAAGCTTGGAGGAACTACCAGAGGAACCGGAACGGATGTCTATTGTTCGACCACGCACAACATGGTCTGTACACTGTGCAATTTCCGGACGAACCAACTTTCATCTCTCCGGCGGGAAATCCCTCCACGCTGGACTTTTTCCTGTCAAACATCGGACTATCCAAGCCGGAGGCGCACAACGATCTCAGCTCCGACCACCAACCGGTGGTGACTGAAGTCGGCATACGTTCGACAAGTTCCTGTGAGGGGTAAGTTTGTTGCTATTGATTCCCACACCCAATTACTGATTCGGTTGAGAAATGTTCGTAGACGCCAGTTTCAGAGGATTGGAGATCTGGGCAAAAAACGTGAAATGGCCGATCTGAATAGGCAGATTGCTTCCAGAATGGACTCACTCCGAAATGAAAGTTTCGGGCGTGTTGTCCAGTATCTGGATGACCGCTCCAGACCATTCTGGAAGGTAGCCAAGGTCCTGAAAAATCATCCCAAACCCGTTCCACCTCTCAAAGTCGAAAATGATGACGATCGGCTTTTAATCACCCCACAGGAGAAAGCAAATGCGATCGGCGAGCATGTAGCTTCATCGCATTTGCTT